TCGGCCTAAATCCGAAATGCATGAAAACCGAAGTGATATTCCTATAAAAATGTAAATCCAGTTAATCCATTACATTAAATATTATCAGAAAATACATTTTATCCAGAATAACTACTGTTTTATTTGTAGAAAAGAATAATAAATAAATATAAATGCGAAATAAATAGAATAAATATAGAATAAATTAAAATTTAACTTCACTTTATCTTTATTGAAGACTTTTGTTGGCGTATGTAAGACGAGAAGGAAGGAGAAGAGTGGAGAGGTGTTATAGTTTAGAAGAGAAATACCCCGCCATAAAGACTTCAGCTAAGTCTTTTTTTTCTGGGGTTACTTCCCATTTCTCTGTCTCTTTGAGCTTGGGGAAGTAAGGCAGCAGCAATCGGACAGAAATGTATAGGTTCGTAACGGACGGATTTCCTTGCTCAATAACCGAGGAGATCGACTATTTCCGAGACATATTTGACCGAAAAATGTCGTCGATAACCGAATCGTACGATAATGTAGCTGCTCAATAACCGAGGTTTCACTCTATTTTATTGATATTCATTTTGAACGCCTAGAGCAGTAGTCAGTTTATCTCGCAGGCCATTACTGCTGGAGTGCGAACAATCTTCACTGGGTGCCTCAAACTTCTGGCCTTGTGCCATAGATAGCCACACTTCACAAATATGAATAAAATAACTATCAGTGGACGCCTCACCGTGGAGCAGAAAATAAAAAAAATTATCTCACAGACCGTACTAGAGGAAATACCATCTTCGCTGGATGCCCTCAAACTTGTGATCTTGTGTCATAGAAAATTAAGCATAGTAAGTGGCAAATTTGTAGCGTAATTGTTAGTAAGCTGGTCGATTTTGCTTATTATTAAAGTACCCTTCTTACAGTGGCCTTATACCAGACTAAACTACAAGTGAGTAAACACTGACATAAGAAATGAAGTTGGTTACCATTAAGGCAAATAATTATCCATAATTATTTATCTCCATTTTCATGAAACATGTGGAAATATTTTCGAAAAATGACGTTGGTAGAAAAAATATCTTTGAATTCGGGTCATGAGTTAGGGTTAGTATGAAAATTTATCGTAGATTCAGTCCTTTTATTGTTTGTAGCATTCAATAAGTTTCTTTTTTGTGTTAATAATGATTGCGGTCATGCATCAAGAGATCCAAGATATTCCTTGTGTTTGTCTCGGCCTGACCTATTTGCAAACCATTGACCTAAAAAAAAAAGTCCTACTAATTCTTAAAAATGGAAACTTCAATTGAATTTGATTCAGGTTATTCTAGGTTCTTGTTCAATTACAGCAACTTAATATGAGGAAAAAAAAAACACACACACACACACGCACATATTACAAGGTGTCACAAAATAATGTATACACTCTTTGAATCGTTATAACTTATTCAATTTATGTATTTAAAGAATTTGAGAGTAAAATATGCAAAAACATAGAAAATTAACTTTAATAAGATAAAAGCTACTTGGGGCAATGGCAGAATGTTCATATAATGATGAATTCGCATCAATTGCTCAAACTGGTTGTCGTTCTGTTCAATACACTTTTCATATGTTGAAGAAATAAACCTACAAACGTCCAGTATCATTTCCTCTGGTATTTGAGCACATTCTTCTTCAATTGCTACTCTCATTTCAGCAATTGTTTTAGATTTCCTGCTGCAAACTTTGTCTTTAAGAAACCCCCACAAGAAGAAATCCCAGGGTGTCAAATTTGGTGATCGAAGTGGGCATTCAACTGTCCCTCTTCTTCCAATTCATCTGTTTTGCATATTTTCATCCATATAAATTCTCACATCACGGTAATGTATTATTCACTATTAATATTTAAAGAGTGTATACATTATTTTGGGACAGCCTGTATATATATATATATATATATATATATATATATTTCAGAATGTATTTTTTTATTAATCCAACAGATTTGTATCACTTTAAATCGTTATTTTTTGTGGATACTTGTATTTGAGGAGACGTAACGTTTATTTATTAAAGAGTAAATTTATTTATCTTCACCTACCGGCCTGAATATTCGAGAAATCTTATTAAAGAAAAATTTCCTCCTTTCGGCAGGAATCGAACCTGCTAACCCCAGGGAAGAAAAAAAAACACCATTTAACCCGGTGCGCCTTACCCCTCGCCCACGAAGGAACAGAGGGTCAGGCGAAGTCAATAAATTTCGCTTGAAAACATGAAATCGACTTCGCTTGACCGTTTGTTCCTTCGTGACTACGCAGTAAGGCGCGCCGGGCTAAACGATGGCCCTCATTTCCCTGAAGGGAAGAAATTTCCGAGGGAATGTAAATTTTCTTTAATAAAATTTCTTGAATATTCAGGCCGGGTGATGAAAAGAAATAATTATACGGTTTATTAAATAAACGGAACGCCTACTCAAATACGAATATCCACTAAAAATAACGATTAAAGTTTTTTATATATATATATATATAATAACGTTTATATATATATATATATATATATATATATATATATATACTCCCGAACCCTTTGATTGAGAGCCCCGAGCAGTGCATTGTGACCCTCGCTATCTTAACAATATTTGTTTTTTCCAACCTATATTTATATATGTTACAAATTAAACTAAGCACACTTGACTATTAAAGCAGAAAATATTTTCGCGGATTTTAACGTCATTCTGAGGTATTTTTCTTTTTCGTCCAAATCCGTGAATTTTTGTTGTTGTTGTTTTGTTACAACGGGTTAGCTGCGACATTAGTTTTCTGTGCCCCGTCAGCAGTCTGCCTTAAGATTCCTTAAATATATTATTTTCGAATTAAGATTCATTAGATAAAAATAATTAAAAATTGATATTTTCTCTTAAAACAATTTTTTCTTAATTTCTTAAATCTATTAAAACCGATATTTTCGAAAAGAAATATCAGTTTAACTATATCTATTTTCTTGATTAGGATTAAAGAACGTGTCAACGTAAGCCAACTAAATATTTTTTTTTCGTAGAACACTAAATTTAATAATGTAACAACGATTTTATAACACTGAATATATAATTATTTCATTTTTTTATTTTATTCATAAAGCACTAATGTTATTCTAAAAGACTCTATATTGTGATAATAAGCGGCTTCCTTAGTGCTAACTCACAAATAAACATAAACATAAAATTTGTTACAACTACTTCTAAAACAATAAAAGACTTAATTAATACAAAGCAAAATAATAATAGGCTAAAAATTGAAAGAGGAATTTACTCTATCACCTGTAATGATTACCACAAGGAATACACAGGAGAAACATCAAATAAAAGATTATATAAACACAAAAGAAATCTTTTACAAAACAAAGATTCGAAATTTATTATTGATTATTAAGTTGACATCTCTATCCGTTTGAATTTTGTTCATGTTAAATTCATGAACAAAATTTAACATGAACAAAATTCAAACGGATAGAGATGTCAACTTAATAATCAATAATAAATTTTTTTTGAAGAGATTAAAAAAAGATTACTAGAAGTAAACTTATATTTTAAAATAAAATTTTATTCTTTTAATGTACTTTCTATGAATATTTTTCTAATCGACTATTTCATAGAAAATCCCCATAATTAAAAAAAAAAATTAAATCACTAACAAACGTCTAATTAAATTATTTGTAGACAGTCTAAACACATTCAAATTTATATCAAACATTATAATCATTATGAACCCCCAAAATAACACTTTCAAAGTAAAAGAAAATAACAGCGTCTGTTTCTAACCTTTTTTTACAAAGAAAATTAGTGACATCTTCTCTCATAACTTTCTTCTCTCTTTTTCTCTCTATGGGTTTTTCTTCTCTACCCCTTCGATATCAATATATTAAGTTAACCGCTTAAATGTGTCAATATCTGCTAACTCACTCATGGAAGTAAAGTCTGATGATCCGCATTCCTTTAAAAGGGCTGTGGTGAAATAATTTATTACATGGAACCTTAAAGTGGTCTGTTTTTATTTAAATTATTTGCTCTGGATTTACATTGAGCTCTCTGGATTTATCCTCCTTAGGTTTACCCATACGGATTACCTAGTTTTCATAAACTATATATATATATATATATATATATATATATATATATATATATATATATAGTTATTTATATAATATATAAAATATATATATAAGCTATTTATATATAATGTATATATAAGTTATTGATATATAATACATATATATTTTATTTATATATAATATATATATATATTGTGTGTATTTAGGCAGCATTTTTTCATTCATACATGTTTCATTAAATAATATAGATAAGTGTTTTCTATTTATTTATGTAAATTCTTTTCATAACGTCTAATAAGCTTAATAACATTATCATTAAACGCTTGTCCGTATATTGCTTAATATATTGTACAGTAATTGACATCTTTGATAATGGCTTATGTAAGCCGAAAGCTTAGATTGGATTTTTAAAAAATATGGATCAATATTGTGATTTTCTTTCTTCGTTTAATGATAATGTTATTAAACTTATCAGAAGTTATAAAAGAATTTACATAAAATAAATAGACAACACTTGTCTATATTATTTAAGGAAACATGTAATATATATATATATATATATATATATATATATATATATATATATATATATATATATATATATTATAGGAAATAAAATTTATATTTTCATATCCTGAATACCTCTAAACAGATTTTTTAAATTCAACCAACAAGACATGGCTACTTAATGTTTTATTGTATTTTTCAATTTTTCTAATATTTACGGGCGTCTTTCCTCCGGGTCTCAATCCTGACCTTACCGTACCAAATATATAAACGGATTTTTTTATATTGGTGTCAGTGTTATTTCTCCACAATAAGCTTCTTATCGTTATTATATTGCCTTCTTCATTTCTATAAACAACGTTTCTGCCACCAAATTTAGCGTTAACGGAACATCTATATATGTGGATTCATTTAGCCTGTTATTGTTTTTATTCATATAGATAATTCAAAGATACGACCTGATTTTAATTCAAGAAATTCGAGACAAAAGCCAAACTGTGATGTACAAGGTGCTTAAACAGTTAGAAGAGTAAGTAAATCTATTTTTGCTTTCTTGATCTTAAATTCTTTATTTCTGTGTTTTTCAATAAAATGTTTAAATTGCGATATGTAAAAGACAGCTGTTCTTAAACATGAAGATGCAACTAGTCAAGTTTTCACGGTTTTTCAATGTCAACAAACTGTTTTTTGTTAAGAAGTTAAAAGTTGTTGCTTGAAATGAAAATCGTAAATTATTTTGAAATAAACTTATTTCTCTTCAAAGTAATGAGAGTTGATTGATAAATAAGGTCTCTAATCCGATAGAACAAGTTTTAAAACAAAATAATGAACCTGGTTTCAAAATGAAGTCAATTTATTTCTTTTCAAAATTATGTGTATTGATTTATAAGATCTCCAGTGCTAAAAAGAATACATTTTTAACCTGGTAGAATAATGAAACTGGTATTAAAATGAAGTAAATTAATTTCTCTACAAGATTACGAGGATTGATTGATAATTAATGTCTCCAATTCTATAAAACAAGTTTCAAAGCAAATGGAATAATGAAATTGGTATCAAAATAAAGGAAATTTATTTCTCTCAAAGATTACGACGGTTGATTGATAATTAAGGTATTCAATTCTATAAAGCAAGTTACCAGATAGAATAATGAAGATGGCATCAAAATGAATTAAATTTATTTTTCTTCAAAATTATGTGGGTTGATTGTTAACTAAGGTCTTCAATGTTAGAAAGCAAGTTTCAAAACAGATAAAATAATGAAATTGGTATTAAAATCAGTCTGCTTCTGTATACCATTCCGTTGTCAATTCTGTACACAATAATATAGATTACGTAAGGAGGTTGAGGGTTAAGATTGAGTGACGCCACAAAGATCTGTTGAAACGACTCAACAACCTTGACATATCTGGGAAGGATATTAGAATAATCAAGAACCTATAGTGGCAGCAAACCGCCTGCATACGGATAGAAAATAAGTTCAGCATATATACAAAAATAGAAAGGGAAATAAGACAAGGATGTGTCTTCTCACCAGACTTATTCAACCTATACAGCGAGACAATTCTGAGAGAATTAGAAGTCCTGCCAGGATTCGTTATTGGCGGCAAAAATCTTAACAACATAAAATATGTAGATGGCACAAAGTCGATAGCAGACACGGAAAGAAAACTACAAAATATTAGAAGGTAGCGACAGAAAGCGAGAAGAAAGGACTAAACATCAACTGCAAGAAGACAGAGTGCACGATTGTTAGCAAAAGGATGAGCCCAAAATACCAATTACAAATCAGAGGTACCAAAATCAAACAAGTACAACAATTAAAATATCTGCGAAGTGTTTTAACAGAGGACGGAAGGTACGAAACTGAAACCGGAAGACGCATATGGATAGCGACAGATGCCTTCCAAAAGTATTAAACGAAAGAAAAACTTCGTTAAAAACAAAGAAAAGAGTATTGGACTGTTACGTGCTATCTGTACCCTATATGGCAGTGAATGCTGGACAATCTCCTCAAAGATGAAGAAGAGACTTGAAGCAAAAGAGATGTGGTTCTACAGAAGGATGCTGAAGATACCATGGACTGAACATGTGAGCAACGACGAAATTTTAGAGAAAATGGAAACAAAAAGTAAACTTATACTTAACATCAGGAAGAGACTGTCTATATCTCTGAGATAAGGTATTATGATTACTTACATTATTTACATTATTCGGACTGTTATCCTCATCTTCATTGCCAATATTCACAACGTTTCGGCCTCTATATCTCTGAGATGAGGTATTATGATTACTTGCATTATTTACATTATTCGGACTGTTATCCTCATCTTCATTGCCATATTCACAACGTTTTGGCCTCTATATCTCTGCGATGAGGTATTATGATTACTTACATTATTTACATTATTCGGACTGTTATCCTCATCTTCATTGCCATATTCACAACGTATCGGTCGTTGTACGCTTCGGTTTTCTTCAGGTTATTGGAATTTCGAATCGAACCCTTTATTTCATCCACCGGGGGAAATTGTTCTAGTTCCACGTGCCATGCCTCTTCCGGGTGTCACAGTTATTTCCCTTTAACTCAACTCTCCAAGTTTTGGTTCACACCTGCTGTAGCCTGGTATTGAACTCATAACTCTTTGGATCTATTCACTGGATCTAACTAACGCCTTTCTCCAAGGACACATGGCCCAGTAGACAAAGGCGTTAGTTATATCCAGTAACTAGACTCAAAGAGTTGTGAGTTCAAATATCCGGCTACAGCAGTGGTAAGAAATTAAGAAGTTTTAAATATGTCATTATTGGTTGCTTTTATTATTTTCTCAATTTTTCTCTCGTAACCATTAACGGTTGATATGTCCCAGCTTCAAAGTTATCCTATGCAACGGATTCAAATATGTTTCTATTACCAGCGTATATCAACCTTTTTCATTGTGGAAACCTTGAAATAGTTTTCATGTCTCAGGGAACCCTTGCATAAAAATTATTATACACCATTATTCGTATCTATCGCTCTTAATACTTTTATCATTCACGTGGTAAAAAATAATATATGAACACTTGTGATGTATTCGAATGAGTCACTCAATGGTACACGAATCCGCCATGTACAGGTCTTGTCCACTAACCAGTGAAGGCGGTTTCACACTGATGCCATATAGACATCGTTAAATACAGGGTGTTTCAAAAAATTTGATATCCTTTGAGATGTAAATATCACAGAAAGTACATGATTAAGGCAAATGAAATTAAAAAGTATTAATGTTGAAGATCATAAGATTTATTCTTCCAAATCTGAATGAGAAATTCAAAAAGCATGTGGATTATGTGAACACACAAACGCCTTTTCTCTTCTAGTAAATAGCATTTTTATACCTGTAAAAGAAAAAAGATTAAAGATTAAAGAACATAAAAATACAAATAAAAAAACACAAAAACATAAAGACATAAAAACATAAAACAAACATTAAACATAAAGATGCTATTAAAATTTGAAGTCATTTGAAGGAGATCTAACAAAATTATTAGACTGCGAAATCATATCAAATTTTTTGAAACACCCTGTACATTCCCTACGATCATTATAATTTTAAATAATATAAAAGGTTGAAGTTACAATAACCAGGGATTTTCCAACAATATACCGTACGTATATAGTAAGATCATGAATATAAAATTAAATAAATTACTCAGAAATGTATTACCTTATTTTTCACAGCTTCTCGCTGAACCCCTAGCGACCTCTTGCAGAACCTTAGGGTTCCAGGGAAAATCGGTTGAGAAACAGTGCTACACTATTAACGACGCTTACTTATCAATCAATTCTCGTATATTAGTAATTAGCTTAAGTGTCTATAATAGTGTATGTGAATATTTGCATCGTAAGCTAATCAAGAAACAATTTTGTTTCATTTAAGGGACTATAAAAAAAAAATTAAAGAAGTATTTGCATGTTAAATATCAATGGTTCAATTTTTAGAGCAAAGACGCCATACCGGAAGCATATCAGCAAACGCCTGGGACGCACAACCAGCAAGGAACAGTATGCATTTTTGTATAGGTGAGTTTTACAGACGCAAGCTGATTATTGCAATATTTCTCAATGAACATTTGACTTATAAAATAATTCTAAATTAATGATATAAATGAAGTTCAATGTGGCATTATGATTTTTCATAAGAGAACTATCATTTATCCGAAATCAAACAAAATATTTACGATTTATTATACAGTACAGTTCAAAAGTTTAAAGCCACTTCCAGAATCAGCAAGGGATGAAGCTGACAGATAAGTGATAAAAATAAAAATGAGCTGTTAGACTCATTGAAAAAAGAATGGAATCAATTATTAAACTTTGAGAAACTTTTGCAACAAATGCCAAAAATTTGTGCTGAAGTAATCAAGGCTAAAGGAGGATATTTTGACGAGAGCAAAGGTTAATCAAAAAATTTGTTTTTTTCTTTTTGTCATAAAAAAAATTTCTCATAAAAAATCCTGTCTCGCATTTTAACCATGTATAATAATTTTCTCTTATTTAAAGTAAAAACAACTACTTTTGGGGCCAATTTAAAAAATTACCCGGGGTGGCCTTAAACTTTTGAATTGTAGTGTAAATCAAGAATTAAGTTTATGATTTATTATAAATAAAGAAAAGCATTTATAACATATTATAATTTTTGATAAATGAATTTCTGGGATGATGCGTTATCAGTATTTACACTATGTATGTCCGGAATATTATCCTCATCTTTGTTGTTTTTATCACAACGTTTCGGCCGTTGTGCCCTCCGTACATCCTAAGGTGTATATCAATTACGGTAACCTACAGGAAATTCCAAAATGAACCCTTTATTTAATCTTCGCGAGTAGACTTTTTTCGTACCACTGCCCATGTCTAGGGATATCTCGTCTAATCCTTATTTTTAGTACTGCTCACTTTTTTCTCGTCCGTTTCCATTGAGTGGAAGTACACTCTACCCGACCCAGGGATTGAACTCACTATTCTGTAAAGAAAAAGATTAAAGATTAAAGAACATAAAAATACAAATAAGAAAAACACAAAAACAAAGACATAAAAACATAAAACAAACATTAAACATAAAGATGCTATTAAAATTTGAAGTCATTTGAAGATCTAACAAAGTTATTAGGCTGCGAAATGATATCAATATTTTTGAAATCTTTTAATACGTGAAGACATGTGCAGCAGCAGCAGTCAAAGCATGACAGCCAGCAGCAGCAGCAGTTGCAACCTAATCAGCAACTAAGGTTAGATTTAAACTCTAAGTTTACTACAATAAATTGTCCTACGGGACAATGGCCTAGTCGGTAAAAGCGTTGGCTTGTGAATTTGATGACATGTGATTTCAATTCTTGGATCGTGGATTACACAGTGTAAACGGGCGAGCAATAACTAAACGGTAGTAATTAGAAATAAGAACTAGACGACGGGCAGTCGAATGAGAACACTACCGGAGGACCCAACAATCGAAATGTTGTGATAAAACTCAGGAAGATGTGGACATTAGTTCGAATATGCATAGTGCAAATAATTCATTATAAATCAAGAATAAACATTTAAAATTCATTTAAAAACAGATAAAATTGATGATTTTATTCTAAATAAGAATAAAATTTATAATTTACTACAAGAAAGATAAAATTATTTCTTTTTTTTTTTGTTTTACTAGCATCGCCCGTGAAAATTTAACGATTGTCCTGTCTTGAATTTTCTGAGGAGCCATAATTTTTACAGTGTTTTCACGTTGATGCTACGCATTCACGAATTTGAACGCAGTACTAGATTGGCAGATTGGTCTCATAATATCAATGTTAAAATTGTTAGTTTTAACCATAAGTTCTATGCTTCTTACTTGTGGAATTCGCTTCCAACTTCCTGATTTCCAGTCAAATTTGATCTTCAAAAATTTAAATGCAATGTCAATCGTTATCTTCTGTCCTTTTAATTCCTGTTTATTACCCTCTATTTCTTTCACTCTCACTAAACCCTTGTGGCTTTTATTATCTTGTTTGGTATGAAACTATTAAAAATATCCTTACTTTAACGATTGAATAAGTTCCTTATGAGTTCTACGACTATAAAATTGCCTTTAGTAATTCCCCTACTGTCACGTTAAATATTTGAGCTTAACAACTTTAACAAAATATTGCAACAACAGTCATAAGTATGAATGCAGATCATTATTTAATGAAATAAGGGGGTAGAAATAAAAAGACTGAAACCTAACAAGGTTTTAATGTACAGGGTGAGACAAAAGTTACGCACCACAAAGTTACTGTTGATTTGTCAGCGAAATCATACCCTTGAATTTTTTTTTTGGGGGGGGGGGCTATTTAAAATCAGTTGTTAATCAGAATTAAATATGGATTCAGTAAAATGACAGAGGAGACTCCTTGACGTATTAATGAATCATGCAGGCACAGAATTGAAATGTGTTTTGAAAAAGGAGGGGAACATTTTGAACACCACTAGAACAATTAAATAAATCAAAAATTTTCATGTATAATTATATTTTTAATAAATTATCCCTATGTTGCGCGACTTTTGCCTCACCCTTCATATTTAAATAAATATATAACAGTTTAATTCAAATAGCAAACACTTTTTAGTAAAACTTTTAACTTAACTATGTCCGAGGTGTGTTCAAAAAGTAATTGACTTTATTTTTTCCAGCCAAAACTAAAGCCATCATGTTTGAAGCTGTTGTACCACGCTTTGATCTGTATTTTGCTCATGGCGTCATTGCCAAAGGTCGACTGAATCTTTTGGCGTATCACCAAGCTTTTAGAAAAACTGGATATAATATGTCTGCTTGATGCATTCGGTCATTTTAAATGAAAAATGAAAATCAGACGAGCGCGCACTACACATCTGTACTCTAGGCGTAACGGCCCGGAAGTGATGCGGCCTACCGAAGCGAAAATGTTCGTGCATGCGCACGATGGATAGCGTCACATCCTACCCAAAGGATTTTGCAGACACGGCATTACTTTTGACAGGAAATAATAAAGTCGGATACTTTTTTTAACGCACCTCGTATATACATATAAAGTAAAACAAAATATATACCGATATATACAACTCTAATGTCATTAAGTTAACACTTCTTTGTACAGTTCGACCTCTTTAATCCGGCACACTTGGGACTGCCAGATCAGAGAAATGCCGGATAAACAGAAATAACCACAAAATCTATGTAAATAGAGACTTTCCATCTCATTACTACATATATATTGCTGTATTATCAAAGGTAGAACAATAGTTAAAACAGAAAATGAAATAATCATTAATAATCCTAAAGTCTTTATTGTTTCATTTAATACAAAGCTATAAAAAGCCTAAAACCATATAAATATATACTTATTATCTTGAATGGGTAAATATACAGCTATATATAAGAAACGGGCAAGACCGTGTTACCAAAACACTGCGGTTGTCGGCTGCTGCGGAAAGTTGTAAACAATATGTGGCGCTACCCTCGTAGCCGTTCAACGAACAGGTGGTGGTTGATTTTTAAAAAAAAAGTGTACCAGACCATGGGAGTTACCGGGCCACTGAGTGCTGGATTAAAAGGACGGTCGGATTAAAGAGGTGCGACTGTATATAGCATTCTTAGTAAAACAGCTCTTCAGCTTATCCATTGTTCGTTGGTATCTATTACTTAAACTTTGACGTCAGATAATCTGCGATCTCTTGGGAATGATCTGGAGAGCTGTCTGTGGCTGAATAGAGGTTCAGGTAAAACAAAACAAACTCCTGCTTTGTAAAATGCCTGTTCTCACGACTTATTCTCATTGCATTGAATTACCAACTAATCACAAACATTAATTCATTGTAACGTTTCAATAGCCGTTTAAATTCCTTCATTAAATAATTTTGTGAAACAATTCTCTCTTCGTATCTTAAAGTATATTTCATTAATGAAAGTTAACTATCAATGAAACTTGAATAATACTGAAGAAAATACGCAGCAAGAGGAATTATAAAAGACGTAAATAATATGTCCAGTTTACCGAGGTACTTCGATGTGCTGTAATTGTAGTCTCGCGAGATCAACTTACGATTGAGTAGTGAGTCCGATAATCACTAGGTGCCACATATTTCTCTATTGTCCGTTCCTTTCTATTTCCCGCATTACAAATATTTCTTTCGTTTCACTGAAGCAGACACTAAGGATCAGATAGCGTTATAGCCTTCTCTATCTTCTCTCCTATTCTTTCTTTGTTTTTATTTCTTCTATTTCTACTTTCTGTCGTTTTTTTTTTTTCGTTTCTTTCTTTTTTGTTTTCTTTCTTGCCTTTTTCTTTTCTTTCTTGCCTTTTTCTTTTTTCTTTCATTTTTTTCATTTACTTTCTTTCTTCCTTCCTTCTACCCGTCCAATGTGAGAGGACATTTTCAAAGCTAAAGTTCATAAAGACAAGGTTCAGGAAATTCGCTGTTTGAGGAGAATTTGAAATCATGTTGCTATTCATTGAAAAGGAAATTTTAGATGAATTGGATGCAGAAGTAATTATTGACAAATCCGCACTTTCATCGAGTGAATACAAATATTCTTAATGCAATTCTTTATTGTGCTTTTGAACAATCTGTTAATGTGCAAATTGTGCAATAATCTATCTAAAAATATCAACCAATTAAAATTTTAAAAAATAATTACAAAATTCAATTTTAACATTGTGTATTTATATTTAGTATCAGCTGCCAGTTTGCAGTACATGTAAACTTTAATTACTAAAAAATACAATTGTTTTCCACAAAAAAAATTAATTATACTCTTTTTTTTCCATATGTATTTTTTGTTAATTAAATTAAATGATGGCGAACACCTCTGCCGGTCAGAATACAATATTCGCGTATCATATTATGCCCCTCCCCTTACTGCTTAGACACTTATATAGTTTATACTTACCTGTCTCATGTCAGAGGATATCCCCCAGACTAGGCTCTGCCGAAGGGCAGAGTCTCGTCTCGGGAAACTGACTCCGTTTTTACGTGGTCTATAGGGAATTTTTGCCCGGGCCTACGGGCTCGGATACCCCACTTTAAACTTGGCCTTGTGCCACATCTTGCTGCATCGGGCAGCGGGTAAATGATTATAGTTTCTATGCTTTATCTATGCTAAGTAGGTAGTCATTTATATATCACTATAAAAATCCCGAGGTCGAACATGTTATAAATATCATATAATATATATATATATATATATATATATATATATATATATATATATGTGTGTGTGTGTGTGTGTGTGTGTGTGTGTGTGTGTGTGTGTGTGTGTGTGCAACCCTCTTTTTATGCAAGTTTCATTAAAAACGACTGACAGGGTAATGTGGTTAAGTTTTATATTTGATTTTTCACGTGTTCTTATATTTTTTTCTTTTCTGGACATACATTAAATAAAAAATGTCCAAATATTTTGTATGTCCCAGCGCTTTAACCTATAGAAGCAAAAACAAGAAAAGTAAAATTAAATTATCTACTATAAAAAATTTTAAACTGCTCACCTCATTGTCAAAAATAATCATTCACCTACAAGATCCAAATTACAGAGAACCAATATTATTTATGGGTTCATATGTCCCTTAAGGAACTGTGTTCCTGACCAATCCAAATTCTTAAACAATTATATTGGATATACTACAACATGCCTAAGAAGACTGACGTTACATCTCCCTGACCATAGATCTATTCGGGCTCATTTAAATACACATGAAGACCTACCAAACTCCATCCGCAACATACTCGTTGATAATGTAAATATAATAGCCTCATCCACATGTGAAAAGGGCCAAAAATAATGGAAGCATTATTAATAATAAAAATAAATAAATAGAAATAAAGCCAACACGCAATAATATCAACTATGTACACGGCTACATTTTACTGACCGTGTTTGGAAAATAAAACATTCCTATAACTCTATATACATACAAAAAACAATCTATACACTCAGTTAAAAGTAAAAATTAAATTCATCTTCAATAATGGCTAAAAATAATGGCTAAAAATATAGCCAAAAGCACTCGAACTTACAAAACATTTGGACAATTTTTACATAATTTACGCCCCAAAAAGAAAAGAACATGTGAAAAATTAAATAAAAATCTAACCATATATATATATATATATATATATATATATATATATATAATATATATTTATTCTTTTCTTCATTGGCAGAATTGGTTCTGGTATCAACCTTGAAGATTCTTTCACTTTCGATGACGGATCGGAAGCCAACAAAAATGACACCTTTCAGCGGGAACCATTCGTTGCTCGATTTTCTTTTAAAAATCTACGTAAGTGTAACTTTTTAATAGCTCACTTGAATTTGAGGCATCGTATTCATTTTAATAAATTGTTTGTAAATAAAGAATAACTGTTGAGATCTCCAGTTGCCCATCATAGACATTAATATATCTGTTATATATTTATACATTAATAAAAACAGTGGATGCTCTGGCTATTAACGCATCTCTCTTCGGTTATGAAATGAGAGCTGTTGGCTACTGGCGTTTGTATACATCACGTATATATTACGTTAAAAATTTACCTTTCTCTGCCGTGTGCTGATAGCTTAGGGCTAAAATCTCTGACTGATGCCAAATCGGTCAAGTTTCGATTCCCGGCTTGAAGCAATCAGAGAAGAAAGAGTGGAAATCACTGACCCACCGTGTATTTGCTTTTATTTTTCAGTCTTTATTACCATAAATTTCAATTTGTTTTTTTTAATTTATTTGTAAGTGCCGTGTAGTCAAAGCAACTCGGAATTGTGGTGCGGACTCATATTGAAATTTTATTCAGAGACAAGTTGCCAAGGATTTGAATATTTCTAGATATGATGTGCAATATTCGTTACAAAGGCCGTTAGAAACCGATGCACATGTTGACAGAATAAAAAGAGCTGGAGCAACAAAAGTGACAACTTCTATTGAAGATAAGCATTTGATTATTAAGAGTAAAAGAAATAGAAGTAAAACTGCTCTAGAGTTTACAACTGAATTTTAATTTCTCTCCACAGCAACCGGTGTCACTCTCATCTAAAGGATATGTCTATAAGTTTGGACAGGGAAAGCTTCTAGAATGTAACCAACACATTTCTTCTCTTTACCGCCACAGACTATCACGTCTGCTTTTCTCGTAGTCTACACGGCAACTGGGGTTCGTCTCTCCATTCACCAGCCACCACGAGACCCTCATGAATTTGTAATGCCAATTGTATCCCTGTCATTTGTTCGTTTTCCTATTTAGAACCAAATACAAAACGCTTTAAAAAAATCTTTATATTTTTTCACAAAAAATATATATAATGTAATTATATATATTTTTTTTATATATATTATTATGTTTTATGGTTTTTATGTCATGATTTTTGTGTTTTTTGTTTTTTTATATTTTCATGTTTTTTATATTTTATGATTATGTTTTTATTTTATTATTATTATTCTTTTATTTTTATATTTTATTTTTTAGATGATTAATATATAAATATAATTTATGATATTTTTTCACAAAAAATAATCATTTTAAACATGAAAACATCACAAATACCGAATGAAAAATTTAAACACTTTCTGTTCGATAACATTACAGTGAGTAATTAATATGAATAAACTCTATTTTCTTCGTTAGTTATTCGCTATATACTTGCCTTCCTTAAGCAATTTTCGTCCATGGCCCATATATCCGAAGGGCTCTAACTTTAAATTAATCCCCGAAAAGATGCGATTCATCCTCAACATACCGCAGTCGACATGTTGCAGTTGCTGTTCTATAAATGAAAATTGCAACCGTTTATATTTAAAAAATGCTCGACATTTTAATTCAGCCTCAGTAGCATTGCATATCATTTGTAAGATATGTATATATTACGTAGACTTAACGTATTTGTCGGTATATAAGACGCACGGGTGTATAAGACGCACCCCAATTTCAGCAGAACAAATCAAGGAAAAATTAGTAAAATTATTAGTAAATGATACAGCTTAGGCTATATTTATGAGGTATTATTTTGGTTAAAAAAGCCATGGTTACAATTAAACGAAAAATAATAGGAAAAAAAGAACACGAGTCTATAAAAACTTTATATCCAAAGGTAAGAAAACAAAATAAAAATTAAGCAATTATTACAATTGAGCAAAACAATACATTTACCATTAAAATTCAGTCAAAAATTTTCCTTTATATGATCTGTACAACCTACGTATTTTAAACATCTTATTGAAATAATTAGGATATAAAAATTCTGATTGTATTTATACCAATGCAACCGGGAGTTACTGCAAGAAAAATATTAATGAAACAAATGTATTTTACAAATATATAATTTGAATTTATTGCATATAATTTTAGTGAAACAAAGTACTAATATCAAACGTGATGAAATTAATATAATGAATATTATCAATGATAACACTTTTAATCTGTATAATAGCCTTTTAAATAATGACAATAGGTATATGAAAGTTACTCTAAAGTCTAACCTAATAGGAGTTGCCAGGTAGCTAATTTCTGCCGACTATCGCGAATTTAAACCTACATATGGCATATAAAACGCAGGGGAATTTTAAAAGGTATTTTTAGTTAAAAAAAAAAAGTGCGTCTTATATGCCTTCAAATACGGTAATTCTATAAATAAATAATCTATTCTTGAATTATACATTCTAGAAAGACCCGTAAAAACTTCAGGGCTTTCCTATTTTAATATTCTAAGGAATATTAATTTTTAAGTTAATGACTGAATCAGCTCATGGCGAATTCTTCGACAATAAAATATACGTATAAATTTCCCTGTCACGTCATTAAATATTTGAGCTTAACAACTTTAACAAAATATTGCAATGGCAATAAATATGAATGTTGATCGTTATTTTAAGAAGTAAGGGGGTACAAATGAAGATATTTTAAATTGACAACGTTTTTTCATTTCATTGAAATAGACGTTAAACACTTCTATTTACCCATTTATTTTCTCACTGAAATCAAGTAGCATCTCAGCTATGTCATTTCCGTCTTTTCACGCAGTAAAAATGGAATAGTCCATTATTTTTTAGGTATTGGCAAGATGTAACGGTCGTGCGAAGTAACTAAGTAACTAACGAAGAGGGGAAGTTACAAACAGAATTATTATATTATGTTTAAGTTTTAATCTTTTTCATTATTCAGACTCATCATACAATCAGATAGTATATGACTTAATACTATTGAATTTGTTTTTGTTTTTTTATTTAATGTCAGATTAGCAACACTAATGCAATTCGGTCAGCAAAATTGCATCATGCATTTAAGTGTGCCTAGAAACAAAACACAGTGATGTCCAATAGTAAAAGAAATATAAATTTTTATATGGCTAAAAAGGTTACTAAATAAAAAATATCAAAACTTTTACATATAATTTTAATATCGTTGCTCGTAAAAGTTGCTTTTTTTATGATATAAAAATGCGCCAAGAATGAAAGCCCATTAGAACTGGTTCAGTGCCTTCTTATTCCTTGGAGGAATCTCTCTCTGATTGATCATGTCTTGACCATACTCAACACGCTTGGACAATTGAGATTATTTAACCCATAGTTGTAGGTTTTCAATTCAGACTTGTCTTTCTCCTACACCCAGTCTATTCTGATATTTACCCATAGCTGGGGGAGAGAAGAAGAGATGGATTCATGCCTTTTCCCAAGAACATTTGCACGTAAGTGAATGTAATGAACTCGACTGGAATTCGAACTCGGCTCTCCGATTCCTCAATTCGAGTCGCTATCAGTTACTCCACCGTGTCTCCGCATGTTATGTTTTTTTCTTTTCTTTTTTTTATAAGCATTTCACACCAAGGAAGGCAAGAGTGACACTAGAACGCAAGTGATCACAGAGAGTGAAAGTAAGGGAAAAGATTGGGTAAAGGGGGTTGTGGAAAGGATAAAAGGCAGGACGGGAATCAAGGCATGAGAAGATGTCGATTGACATTACATTTAATTTTTTTAATGTTATAGTTATCAAGGAAGCAAGCAAGAGGAAGGGAGTTCCACTGTCGGGAAGTGCGATAGAAACTGTTGGAGTAGAAGAGGTGGTTACATTGAACTGTTTCGACAGTAAAAAGGTGGGAGCGAGATGCCAACCAGGTAGCACCCTTAAATTCATGCAGTTGGGCACCAGTGAGAATAGTTCGTCAGAGCAGTTACCATGAAAATATTTATAGAAAAAACAGAGGAAGCCGTCTCTGAGAAAGTGACTGGAGTCGAGATGCCAAGTCAAAACCGATCACACTGCATAACCGTCTTTGGATTTTGTCGAGAACCTCGAATTGAACAACGGGGTGAACCAAACCATATATAACAATATTTTAATTCGACCAGTATATATAATATAATTGTTATATTTAAAAAATGATAATGTCATTTTTTTTTTTAAAGTCAGGTGGTTTGTTCTCTACTACGTCCACTTCTAAAAATAATACGTAATTTGTAAAATTTTTATCATCTTCAACTGATCCTCGTAATCTATCAACTTTTGACGCTTTTGGTGCCTGGGTCCTCTTTCTGCACAAAATTTTCTTGATAAAATTCCCTTAAAAGATTTTCCCGCCCGAAATATATATATATATTCATAAGTTTACCATTCATTCTTGCATTGAATATTGCTGTCACATCTTTTATGGTGCTCCTGCTATATATTTCGAGATTCTTAATAAAATCCAGAGCAAAATCTGCAATGTCCTGACCTGGTATTTTGGCTTCAGTCACTTTCCCACAGCCGCAATATAGCTTCCCTATGATTTTTCTATAAACACTTTAATGATAACTTTTCTGATGAGTTTTCCTCTTTGGAAAGACTTTATAAATTTAAGCGCTGTATTATATTGACGACAAGGCCTTAGCATTTTACACCCTTGTGCAACTTAATTGAAACAAACGCTTTAGTTTCCTTTCTTTCAACGTAAGGTCAGTTTTAGACCTACTGGAGTGACAGGGTGTAATCGACTTCTATTTTTTTTCCTCAGATTAGGTCATTTGCAGTTGTGTGCAATAATATGAATCTATTTTCGGGGTGTGTGATGAAATTTGTTTGGCCTTGAAAAATATTGCGCCATCCGTGATTACATCAGATTTTCTTCACGCCCAGACACTATTGTCTCGACAGTCGATTAGTTGTCCCACGGCCATTGTCTGCGATGGACGTTACTCCAAGGAATCGCACGAAAATTGTAACGCTGCACGGACAGACTGGCAAGCCTTACCAGTGAGCAAATCAAAGTACTATAGATTGGTCCAGAAACTTTGCTGATTTAAGTCTACTCGAGAATCTGTGGTCAATCTGCAAGGAACGACTTCGTGGAATTGGACGTACGAAGTGCACTAGGTTATGTTTAATGCGAAAAAAAAAGTAAATAATAACGGAATTATTCATTTAGTTTCAATTAATTTGCACAAGGTTGTACAGGTGAAATGGCTTAACCATAAGTTTTATGCTAACAGTTTCTTCTATCGCACTTCTCGCTTGTGGAACTCTTTTGCAGCTTCTTGCCTCCCTATCAGATTTGATCTTCAAAACATTAAATACTATATCTTCTTGTTGTTTTATTGCTATTTCTTCTTCGTGTTGTCCTTTTATTGCCTTTTCTCTTTAATAGTATATTTTTCTTATATTCTCTAACACTCAGTAACACCTTAGTGGATTTATTGCCTTGCCGATTATTCACTTGAATTAATAAATTTTCAATAAATGATAACATTATGAATACGAAATACATCGATGCTTCAACTACAATGTATCTAAAAATACATATTTTTTTCCAGCCTTCAAGTATATTAATTTCATTGCTATCCACGTTGAACCTAACACTGCAGTATCCGAGCTCCAACATTTAATGGATGTATACGAAGAGACGCTGAAACGGTGGAAAAGCAAAGATGTCATCATCCTGGGGGACCTTAACGCCGATTGCAGTTACGTTCCAAAAAGTAAATGGTCATCAATTCCTCTTAGATCAGACCATTATTACTGGCCAATCGGAGATTCAGAAGATACAACAATCACTAAAACCAATTGTGCATATGATAGGTACGTTCTGAATTTAACTTTTAATCAGCAGATGTCTGTTGTCAATGATGAGTTTCACAAACTATTGCTGAAGTATTTGCTTGAAATATTTCCTGTGTACGAACAGTGATCTGTGATGTCAGCGGTTACTGTTCGGCCAGGGGAAAAATCATAAGTTCACTTCGTATCAAAGTAAGTCTTCAATTCTATGAAGCAAGTTTCAAGCCAAATAGAATAATGAAATTGGTATAAAAATGAAATTTATTTCTCTTCAATATTACGAGGGTTGATTAATAAGTAAGATATCCAATCCTATAAAATAAGTTTTAAACCAGATAGAATAATGAAATTGGTATCAAAATGAAGTAAATTTATTTCTTTACAAGATTACGAGGGTTGATTAATAACTAAGATCTTCAATTCTATAAAGCATGTTTCAGACCATATACATATATATATATATATCTTTTTCACTTTCTCTCTCTCTCTCTCTCTCTCTCTCTCTATATATATATATATATATATATATATATATATATATATATATATATTTTTGTGCGTATTTAGGCAGCATTTTTTCATTGATGCATGTTTCATTAAATAATATAGACAAGTTTTGTCTATTTATTTTATGCAAAACTCTTTTCATATCGTCTGATAAGCTTAATAACATTATCATTGAAAGACGAAAGAAAATCACCATATTGATACATGTTATTTAATCCTATCTAAGTTTCGACTTACATAGGCTATTATCAAAGATGACAATTACATTAAATATATTAAACAGTACACGGACATAGCAATAATGATAGTCTGTTTTTGTTTGCATGGAAGATTTCCAAGCAACGACAAACTCGTGCATACGAGACGCTGGAAGCGAAAATCGCACCGCGGCTCATGACATCACACATGACCACGCGTGAGTGAAAATATATATATATATATATGTATATATATATATATATATATATCCCTTTCTGCCTGGTTTACCTCTCTCGCTCTCTTTCTTTCTTTCTCCCTTATTACCTCGCTCGCTCTCTCTATCTCTATCTATCTCAGAGAGAAATAAACTTAAGACCGGAATCTGTTAAAAGTTGACCTCATTCATTGATGTCCAAAATTTATGATTAAATTTACATTTTTATTTTGAGGCATATAAAAAGTTTAATACCTTACAATGTTTTAAAATTTCGCACGTTTATAAACATGCTCGGAAAATCCATGCAGACATTTTTATTGTTAACAAAACCATTAACAATCCTTAAATATTTTCCAATTATTTAACTATTAATGCATAAAAAAGATAATCGATCTTATTGTTGACATCCTCCCGTCCGTCTCTGTGCCTGTTTAGCACAGCTCTTTTATTGCACGCCCCGTTGCCACTAAGCCCAAGATTGTACTACCTGGCCCAGGAATTGAACCCACAATTAATTTGTTACTAAATATCACAAATCAACGTTTTAATCCATTAACTTATAGCAATAACTGGGCACTAAACAAGAATTAAATGAGATATCCCCAGATATGATCAGCAGAACGAAATTCATTGATTGATTCATTTTTTCAAGCTTATCAACACTTTGAAGGTTATTTAAAGCCAGAAAATATTGTTAGATTGTGAGAATTTTTAAGATAATAATGATTTAGTGATGCAAGTCTTACTAATTAACCCATAGCTGAGTGGAGAAGGGGTGGATCTATACATTTTCCCAAGAGTATTTACGCATAAGTGAATATAACGAACTTGTCTGAAATTGAAAGCCATTATCCATTGCACCACCCGCACTTCCAAGCTTACAGCATTTGCTATTCCCAAGTGGTTACCCATCAAGGTACTCACCGGGCTCGACGTTGCTTCGCTTCGGTGATCGTACGGGAACCGGTGGGTCAGCGTGATGTGGCTGTAAGCTAGCAGAACAAAAACAATCTACCCCTGTAGAATTAGAAAGGGTTCAGTTAGAAATCCCCTCAAGGTTACCCGGATCAACAAACAACTGATGAAGGTCGGAGAGCGCAGCGGCTGTGATAATAACAACAAAGATGAGGACAATAATCCGCATGTAAACAATTCATTATAAAATTTTATTTATAAAGATCTGTTCATGCATCCGAGAAAGATAGATAGATAGATAGATAGATAGATAGATAGATAGATAGAGAGAGAGAGAGAGAGAGAATCTGTCTATACTATGTACAATATTTACATTATTCAGACTATTGTCCTCATCTTTGTCGCCATATTTATTACAACGTTTCGGGCGTTGTACGCTCAGGGCTTCTTCAGGTGGTTGGAATGCCGAACTGAACCGTTTATTTCGCTCACTGGGGTAGACTGTTCTAGTTCCACGTGCCATGTTTAATGGATGACAGTTATCAGTTATCTCCTGTTAATTTCCCTCTGAAAGTTCTCCACTGCCTTAACCGGGTATTGAACTCACACTCTTTGGGTCCTTTATCCACTGTGACATGTGTCCTTGGTGACAGCTGTGAATGAATTTCTGGGTATTGTAAACCTAATGTCTTACAGCAAAAATTGCAGTATGAACACGGGTAAAAATAGTTGTTGAATGGCACGTGGAACTAGAACAGTCTACCCCAGTGAGCGAAATAAACGGTTCAGATTGACATTCCAACCACCTGAAGAAGGCCGGAGCGTACAACGGCCGAAACGTTGTAATAAATATGGCGACAAAGATGAGAACAATAGTCCGAATAATGTAAATAATGTATATAGAGAGATATAAAAGGATATATACAGATGTATAGAGTACATAAAGATTTGAACTTTCTTTCCCAAAATAAAAATAAAACAAACTGTAATGCAGAAATTGCACAAGTTTATTGATAAGTCGCATGTGCCGTATGATGTTGATGAGATGCAGAGAAAGAAACGTGTTCTCGACTTAACGTTCTCATCTGACATGAATTGGAATGACGATATTGAATCTATTGGTCGGTCAAGTTGCTAAGAAAATTGGTCCACTGTGTCGGGCGAGACAATTTTTTCTCCAGAATCTATCTTACATATCTATAAGTCTACCTTTCGTCCAGGCTTAGAATATTGCCGTCACAGATGGTCCGCTGCCCCTGATATTTACCTTCTGGTCCTTGATAAGATCCAAAGAAGAATCAGCAATATTATTGGTCCTGGTCTGGCGACCCAGCTCCAGTCACTTTCCCATCACCACTTTGTGTCTTTTCTATAAATACTTTCATTGTAATTGTTCAGATGAGCTCTTCGCTATGGTTCATTTTTGTAAATATTCCTTGGGGTTTAGATTTTTTTGTGATGCCAACGAACACCCATTGCCACTTTTGTGATGATCGTTGTAGTAAAAACTTATAATCGCAGATACAACTGTAGTACGCCGTTGAACAATGGTGGTGTCAGACGCCTTCGAATATCACTAGCACTAATAGCACTTGCTCAATAATACTCGCTCGAATAGTAATCACCGAGTAATAATCCGTATAGAGAAATAGTATAGTGAATAGAGTAGAGAATAGTGGTCCGTATAGTAATAGAGGATAGAATAAAAATGATGATCCGTGTAGTATAGAGGATAGACTAGAAATAGCGATCAATTAGATACGCGCTACCCCCCATATATGCGTTTCCTCTATGGTCACGTGGTCTACTTAATTCAATAAAGGGATCGCTTGTATTTACTCACTGACGATCTATGTTCAAACTTAAGTGTCGGCAGCGACACTTTATTCCTATATAACAGATTTTTAAATTGCTATTTTATTCCCCTCTCCCTCAGACAATGAATTGTACATAAGGGGACTAGTTAAGACTTTCATAGAGACAATGAGGCATTATTGTGAATATAGTAAGAAAGGTAAGTCAGAATGCGTTGTTTTGACATTAGGAATATTGCTTGTATGTTTGGGTCAGTGTTTGTGGCTAGCTAAATTTAATATTGACAGATCAATACCGTCTTTTTCCAATTCCCCATTTTTGGCCTTGCGTCACATTTTCTGTAAATAAGCGGAAATAAATATTGCTCTTCGCTTAAGTGCAGTACTAGAATGACGGCAAGGTCTCATCAATTGACAGTTGAGCTGGCTAGATGTAAGCGTAAATTCGATGCTAACAGTTTCTTTTCTCGCTCGTAGAACCTCCTTCCGGCTTCATGCTTTCCAGTCAACTTTAATCTGCAAACATTTAAATGCAATGTCAATTGTTATATAATGTCCTCCTAATTACTCTTTTATCTTCCTGATTATTATTAATGTTTCTATTCCTAATTCTTCCACACTTTGTAACCCCCTTGTGTCTTATGGGTTTTACTACCTTGCACGGGGTGATGCTGATTAAAAAATAAATAAAATGTTTGAACACGTACATTACAGTTCAAAAGTTTGAAGCCATCCCCAGAATTAGCATGGGATGAACTTGAAAGAAGTGTGAAAAAGAGCTCTTAGAGTCATTGAAAAAATAATTGAATCAATTATTAAACTTATAGTTTAAGAAACTTTTGCTACGAATGCCAAAAATTTGTGCTACAGTAATCATGGCTAAAGGAGGGTATTTGGACGAGAGCAAAATTTAATCATAAAATGCTTTTTTTTTCTTTTTATCATAATAAAAAATCATGTCTCACTTTTTTTTAACCATGTACAATAATTTTAGCTTATTTTAAGTATAAATCAATTACTTTTGGGGCCAATTTAAAAAAATTACCAGGGGTGGTTTCAAACTTTTGAACAGTAATGTATATATGCAACTTTGTGATAACATCAATAAACATTGAGGACAATAATCCTACTGTAAATAATGTAAATAATTATAACATATATTAAAGTAAATAATGTAAATAACGTAAATAATGTAAATAATGATAATATATTAATGAAAGTAATGTAAATAATGATAACAACGTAAATAATGTGAATAATGATAATATATATTAACGTAAATAATGTAAATAATTATAACATATATTAAAGTAAATAATGTAAATAACGTAAATAATGTAAATAATGATAATATATTAACGAAAGTAATGTAAATGATGATAACAACGTAAATAATGTAAATAATGATAATATATATTAACGTAAATAATGTAAATAATTATAACATATTAAAGTAAATAATGTAAATAACGTAAATAATGTAAATAATGATAATAGTAATGTAAAATGTAAATGATGATAACAACGTAAATAATGTAAATAATGATAACATATATTAACGTAAATAATGTAGATAATGTAAATAATGTAAATAATGATAATATATTAACGAAAGTAATGTAAATAATGATAACATATATTAACGTAAATAATGTAAATAATTAAATAATAACTTCCGATCTGAGAAAAGCAAATAATTCTACCTGTTGGACTATTCATTTAGTATTTCGATTATTTATACAATGTTTTATTACCGTCATTATTCGAAATTTTGTAATTAAAACGTTTTATTTTCTTTTATATTACACACAGATTCGTCATTGCCGGGAATAAACTGATTGATTTGGCAAAAACTGGTCAAGTGTCTGTGTTCAAATTCGATGAGTTTTATGGCTTGAACGTAAGAAGAATTTCGTTACTCGATCAGTAATTAACCGACAATTATTTTATTTGCTTTCATAACTACAATCGACCTAACATGAAGCATCGTGTTTTGAATTTTTCGTTATATAGACTTTGAAGGAATGCACCAACAGAATATTAACATAAAATATTTTGCTACAAACGAAAAAGTTAGGGTGTGTCGCGATCGAATCCTTCTAGCTGAACTGAATGCAGTGGCAACCAAAATTTTAACATAGAAATGACAACCAAATAAACAACATTTTTGTTTCTATCAGCAATAATCTATTTCCACAAAAATAATAATTTTTGGAAACAGTAATGGTAATATTAGCCATTTCCCCACAAGGAAACATTTGGCATTCATTGACCAAGCAATTAGTACTGCTTTACGTTGAAATATATAAAATCTTTCACTTAAAACAATTTTTGAGGAAAACACGTTTCTCAAGTCCAGTAACTGTTATCGCTCTTTCCAGTATTGATGGAGCTTTCCTTACTAATCTTTTATATGACGTAGTGTAAAATGTCAGCATCCTGATTATGTCATTATCTTCTCTTCAAGTTACATGTACTATCCATTTTAGTTGTTGCCGCTGTTGGTAGTCCTCAAGATTTCTGTTATTTCTGTAAAACATTTGTGATTCTGTAGCGCCAATCCACGAGGTTCGAAGAAAGGCGATATTTTCCAAGACATTCAGACTTCACTCGCTCAAAGCTTTTCTGTAACCATTGATCTTAGGAAGTGTCTGTAAACAGCGGTTGATAGTTTAGATATTCCTGAACGGGTTTGGGCTTAGATATTCCCGAACGAGTTTGGGTTTAGATATTCCCGAATGGGTTTGGGTTTAGATATTCCCGAATGGGTTTGGGTTTAGATATTCCCGAACGGGTTTGGCACCATGCAAGGCATCCATATGAAAGTCACGATCTGATATATTTAAGAACATGACTCGCTTTTTAAGGATGTAAGTGTGGATGTAAGTATCTGTAAATATGTGACGGTTGTGACAGAATTACTTACACGCTGGACGTGAGATTTTTGATAATACTCATACCACGTGACCCTAGCCAAGTGACCACGTGTCTGAGGGAGATAATCTCCTTCCATCACTTAGGTTCCTCTTTATTTTCATTTTTTATTGCGGATTTGGTTCCTCCAAACGTCAGCGATTAAACGGTGTACAGTCTGCTTGCGAATTAAGACACAAGATCTAAATTTAAAGTGGATTTAACGACAATACCGTAGAAAAATTGCCCAAGCCTCCTTTTTGGGAACGCCTCTGGTACCAGGAAATAAACCCAAGCCCCTCCAGAAGAAAAAGTACTGCCTGGAGGGAAAGGTCCGTTGAGGATTATACTTAATATTTTTTTATACTTCCCTAGCATATGCTAATACTTGCTAATTAAGAATATTTACTTCCAATTAATCGAGATTTATCAAACACTAGGCTAAATAAACAATATTTTTCTTGGACTGGTGGCAAAAGCCTAAAGAAGAAACATTTGGGTTACTACTACACAAAAAAAGACAATGGTTAACCATCAAAAACATAAGGAAAATTAATTCCTTTTAATAATATGTGGAAATATCAACTCTTTGCCTGATGAAGATCGCGAGACCGGAAACCCGCGCAGCAAAAATATGGAAAATAAAGTATAATATATATTTAAAAATCCACAAATTTACGGTTTCCCTCTTCTTTTTAAAATATACACTTTTCTCTCGTTGGAACAACTATAACTTCTCCCTTGGGAAAGTTAATAGCAGGATAGACTAGCCCTTAAACCCTTTTTTGGCAAGGAAAAGATTTAATCTGAATTCAAAACCTAATGAGTGTCATGTGGTGACCTTGAGACACACTATTTGCACCAGTTATCTGTGTTCGGTTCTTCAGAAAAAGCATGATTGGTTTTGTACAAACCTTCATTACAATAAATAAATCATATGTGCGAATATATATATATATTCAATATATATATATATATATATATATATATATATATATATATTTTCAATTATTAAAACAGGTAAATTTCAGAAATACGTTATTCCAAAAAAAATTTCGCTTGAAGATGGAACAGAGCTTACTTTAACTCAATTTAATTCAAATAATTATACTGAAGTTTTCAGCTCTTGTTTTGAAACATGAGACCTCTTATGTCGCGAGTTGGAATCATATTTTTAAATAAATAATTATATATATATATATTCGAAAATTATAACATAAATATGTTATAAAATCACTACAAAAATAGCCATTTTGTTTCTACACTTCTGGTGTCTTATCAAGTGATGGTGTTGAATGTAGAATAAAGGGTGTTAGAGTCTGATGTCAGCCATGGATCAGTACATTTCAGTATCCCAATTCACCCGAGTAAATCAGGGTCAATCGTTTCGCTAGAAAGGTAACATAGCTGATGATACACCCACTAAAACGATAGTCTCAGTAAATATTGAAATACCTGATGCAGTTTTAAAATTTTCATTGCAGTATACAATGGCCAGATCAATTAGCGACCATTACCCAATAGAACTGGATCTTCCCATCAAAGAAAACAACGAATTTTCATCATCATCAAAATCTGTAAGTATTGTGTATTTGTTTTAATCAACATCTCGGGTGGCTAAAATAAAGTGTCAGTAATTGTATACTAAATTCTCATAGATCGGGTTATTGGCCAACGACGGAATCAGGCGGGGACTTTAAATGATCCAGTCACATAGCCACTTTATAAAAATTCCCATTGGCATTTAGTGAAATCTAAATCATAGCTATTTCGTAATATTCCTAATCTAGTAATTATTATAACTGGCCTCTAGAAACATCGGAGTTATGTCGAAAGGCCACACAAAAGTGTTGACATTCAAAACGGTAGTCTCCATGAAAAAGACGCGAAAAAACATCTAAAATAAGATTAAAAAAGGAAAAATTTCAACCAATCACAGTTGGGAAAATTCAAATAACTTCGAGTTTGTATCGCTTGAAAACAGATAAATAAGAAACTTTGCAGCAGGTTATTGTCATCCAACTAAAAATGCCAGGTCGACAACACAAATGTACAGCAGTACAAAGAGGCGAGAGATCAAAAGATACACTGACAACTGAAAGTACATGTCAACTTCTAGAAGTGAATACGCTTGTACTTCATTTTTTCCCGTAAACTGTAATGATCTTTACGCAAATGTATGAACTGTCTCCACATCAGACACGTGACCATTTCTATGAAAATATCAACTAAGACTGTTATACTATGAAAAGAGACACCTGAAAAATATTTTTAATAGAAAAAATTTGTAGTAAAAATATAAAGGAATTCAAGTTGGGACTGTTACTAATTATAAACGCCGACATTCTTTGAACATAACTGATGAAAGAAATTGTACTCAAAATAGAATATATGTATTGTACAATACGTCTTGTTGTGGTTGTAGAAAATTTAGACGATTAGGATATATGTAGCTACCTCAGGTTAAATATCCGACCGTCATCAAGCCACTGTCTTGTTGTATTACCGCCCACTGACGGTAATCACAGATGGTGAGATAAAAAATTACCGCCTCCTGACGCGTATTACAGGTGACGCGAGATTTAAAAGAATCTCTCTCTTTCCTTGGAGACTTTGATAGCGAAAAGACGTCCTCTTTTCGCTCTGTCGGCATGTACGTACCTCAGTTACTGAAGTTTGCTTTGAACTTTTTACATTTATTTTAGTTTCACATTTTTATCTTTTATATGTGCTATTGATATATTTGTTTATATTCGTTTGTTTAAATTCCATGCCTTATTTCTTATTTTTGCCCGGACTCATGTGAGTCCGCCAATATTGTTTGCGGAACAAATGTACCAGTAGCATTAACCATTTACTAAAAAAGTCCACGCCTCATATCAAAAGTGTTGATCAAATCAGTCACAATATTTCGGAGTTACGTTTCTTAGACAGTAACACTTAAATACGCATGCGCACACATCCACGCCGTTGAGCTTACATATGGGAATATATATATATATATATATATATATATATATATATATATATATATATATATTAAATAAAAACAGACCACTTTAAGGTTCCATGTAATAAATTATTTCACCACAGCCCTTTTAAAGGATTGCGGATCATCAGACTTTACTTCCAAAGGTTGAAACAAAAAATGAAAAGAAATTTACACATTTTTGACGGGCAGTATTAAACATATGTAAATTAACGAAGTGTGGAAGTGGGGAGAGAGAGAAGACATGAGTGAGTTAGCAGATATTGACACATTTAAACGGTTAACATAACGGAAGTTATATATTGATATCGAAGAGGTAGAGAAGAAAAAACATAGAGAGAAAAAGAGAGAAGGAAGTTATGAGAGAAGGTGTCACTAATTTTCTTTGTAAAAAAAAAAAAGGCTAGAAACAGACGCTGTTATTTTCTTTTACTTTGAAAGTGTTATTTTGGGGCTTCATAAAGATTATAATGTTTAATATAAATTTGAATGTCTCTAAACTGTCTACAAAGAATTTAATTTGATGTTTGTTAATGATTTAAATTTTTTTAAATTTTGGGGATTTTCTATGAAATAGTCGATTAGAAAAATATTCATAGAAAGTACATTAAAAGAATAAAATTCTATTTTAAAATATAAGTTTACTTCTCGTAATCTTTTTTTAATCTCTTTAAAAAATTTATTATTGATTATTAAGTTGACATCTCTATCCGTTTGAATTTTGTTCATGAATTTAACTCGTGACTGTTTCTAGATAGGTAATCTCTTCTACTTAAATTTTAATTGAGATATGGGTTTTTTGTAATAAATTATTTCACCACAGCCCATGTAAAGGACTGCGGATATAATAGTTTTTATAACTAGTTTTTCATAAACTAAATATTAGCTACATTGAGCTCTCTGGATTTTATCCTCCTTGGGTTTACCCATACGGATTACCTAGTTTTTCATAAACTATATATATATATATATATATAATTCGAAATTTATAAAGAAAATATGCTCAAATCTAATAGGAATAAAATGACTATACTTTTCAATAATGTATGTAAAATGGCACATGCTAGCACATACTCATGAAACTATATGCCAAGTGCATTGTTCAGCATTTTCACTGAGTTCAGCTTTAAAAATTTACATATCGACATAATACAGGAGAGGAAAAATCATATTCATGCGATGTGTGCGATTCAGCATTTTCACTGGCCTTACATTTAAAAAGTCATATGAAAATACGTACTGCAGAGAAGTATTCAATACATGCTGGCGAAAAACCATTTTCATGTGATGTACGTGGATCCAGAGTTTCACGTCGTCTGTCGTGATCCAATGTAAAATATAAATACACATTAAATGTGCCACAATTTAATTTTGGTCGCCTTATTTGACCTATGCACTGATTGTTTATAATGGTCATAAATTCACTACCTTACACACAGACCCCTGATAATGACTCACGTGAATCGAAAGCTCGAACACAGCAGTTATATTTTATTTATAATATTGTTTCTACAGAAATCAGTTTTGCAAAGATCATTCGCATTTTAAAAAAAAGATGTTCAAACTTAATAGAGATAATATATATATATATATATGCAATTTTTTATATATATTATTTATATATTATATATGCGTGGTACTTATTGGTCATTATTTCACTGTGTAGTTTTCTGTATTCCGTTATGTCCCGGCAACTTCTGATTGCAAATGTTTCTTATATAAGCGATCAACCCTCGGTAACCCATCCCAGTTCGACATTGATATATACAAAAATTTCTAATTTTACCTGTATTATATCAACAGGTCCAGTGTCCAAAAAACACATGACTCCACCACCCCCCCGCAAAAAAAAAACTATTTCTCCAACTTTTAATGAGAATCACCTTATGTGCATTAGAATTGTAGTATTAAGAATTTATCCCTCTCGGATCAGATTTCAGTTCGGAAATCCAGGAAAATATTTCCCTTTAGCAGAGAAAGAAGACCACCTATGCGAAATTCCCCAACTAATGACTTTCCCCAAATTTATTCGAGATTCAATTCTCTCTCGTTCCCTCATCAACTTCATTTTATATGTTTAATTTAATTTTAATTCTTCGATTCCTTTCTCATTTTTCTTTTAATTATTTAAGATTTCTCTCTTGGAGATTTCGGGATTTGTTTCTAATTTCTAATGGCCTTAAAGCACCATTTTGCATTCTCATGCAACTAAACGTTGAACTAGGGCCAGCCCAACACCACCCCCCCACCCTGTTACATACACAGCACGTAGCCGAATAGTTAGAACGTTAATATACTGACTAGGAGACCCGAGTTCGAATCTCACCGTGGTCGATTTATCAAAGAGGCGACTTCTTGATATTATCTGACTGAAGAGATGATCTTCTTCAGCCATTGATGACGGTAAATGATACAATCTCCCTCAGAAACTGCAGATAAGGTTCGCTCAGTATAGTTAAAATATAAAACACAGGTTGGTTCTGAGGATGCTGAAGAAACGCAGATGTGTCTGAGCAGGCATGCTCAAAATGATCAGCAGACTTATATATATATATATATATATATATATATATATATATATATATATATATATTACTTCAAATGTCATTATAGTGGGTAGTCATATTTGAAATAGACGCCCCATTTTTTAAAGTTTATCAGCCTGTGCATTCGAGAAAATTTGCTCTCTGGCAGTGACTGAAACTTTGTACGAGAAATCACGATTCCTGCCGGGGGGCACATTTGCTATATTTAGACTTCTCGAATGCACCGGTCGATAGACGTAATATCCACTATAATAACCATATATATATATATATATATATATATATAAACCAAATAGATAGGTAACAATCCTAAAAAATTTAAACAATCCTAATCTCTTTAATCTCTTAAACAAAAGAATTGGGTTAATGAGCACCTGCCTACCTAGATCCGAATTTTTTCTGCAACTCGTTGACCCAAATGGGTATAATCTAACGGGACCCGGGGATAACATTACTTTTTGCTACCTTTACTATACAACTATTGTTAATATTAGACTGTAATGCATTTAACATTTTGGCTAATCCATTATTTCCATTATCTTATCTTTATTATTACTGTTTTACTTATTCTCCTACATTTAGTCATACTATTAGTAACGTGTTTATTTACTTATTTATTCATTTTTATTTGCATTTCTTATTTTTATTTACTTTATTTATTTGCTCTATTTATTTACATATTTATATGTTTTTATTTTATTTTATCTTATTTTATATTGTTTTATTTTCATTGATATGTATTAGTTTTTTTAAGACTTTAATTTTAATTTGATTTTATTACGACATATTTTATTATTATTGATATCACTACTTAATATTAATAATATTATTAATTACTTTATTGATTTTCATGAAAAAAATAAAGTTACCCACCTTGATTTTGAAACGTTTCATCCTTTTTTATTACAACAGCGTCTCTTTAAATTAGAATTTATCATTCTTATTTCCAAACTTATTTTCACTCTTAAATGCTAATCTGGGCCTAAATTCAAATTCAAAATTAAACTACAATTCATTTAAATATTTTAACAACAATCCGCCA